GTGTGTGTGTGTGTGTGAGAGTGTGTGTGAGAGTGTGTGTGAGAGTGTGTGTGAGTACGCTGGATTCGGATCGGGGTTTCTAGACATGCTCTGCGTCAGATCATAACTTACACGACTGAGCACGACACGACAGCAGAGTGTGGCGACTACTGTCAGCCTGAATCACAGTCAGAGTAAAGTCGCTACTAACTCAGTGTGACGGAGCGCTGACAGAAACTTTGTGCCAAGCCTCGACCTGCACACACACACACACACACACACACACACACACTGAATCCTGCACTCACCCGTAAACAGGCGAGCTCGATGTTACTCAGACTTGCTGTAGGGAAGTCTCTCGCCATTTTAATGAGCTCGTCTGCCGATATCAGAGTTTGAGGAACAGTATGTCGCCCATCTGCAGCTCCTCGACAGCGCATCTAACCCTACTATAGCGAAGGCTCGGCTCGTGGAGCATAAACACATAACGGAGCTCTCGCCCCGCACTGAACTGCGCGCAGACCTTGCTGTGAGTGGGCGTTACACAGCTGGCGGATTAGCCAATCACGTCACAGCGCACTCTCGGCTGCGTAATATTAATGAGATCATGTCGCGGACACTCCCGGAATGTTACAAAGCGACCTCACGGTCTGTTTAATATTCATGAGCTCCTCCTTCGCTTTAGTAGGACAAACCCGGAAAACGAGTAAAGAGTGAAAAGAGCAAAACAACGCGTCTTAGCTCTGTGTAATAGTTTGCTTTAGCCTCAAACCTGGCCTGTGTGTTAATAGTCATTAAAGATTTTTATTGGAAACGTTCTGCCACCTTTATGTCAGTTTCATCACATTAATACAGCATGGATTTATAAAGGCATCTCTCACAGTCAATTACTCATATATTTATTTATTTTGTTGGTCTGATAACAGCTGTTATTTTTGCAAGGTATATTACAAATACTAAAACCAGAAACCTGTGAATCAGACAAGCTGCTTGGTTTGAGAGTATAATAACAGCACTCTTCCACACATGACTGTATCTGAAGAGTATACAAAATCAAATCACCCATTTTAGTGACCTTTCATCCTAAAGGGCAGCATTGCATACAAATTCAATAAAATGCTAATAAATATCAGTATTGATCAGAAGTGTCTGATCATTACCAGCACTGAAATGCTTCATCTGTAGTGCCAGATACACCATATAAACCTGATGTATCTATCCATAGTGTATGCAAAACTTCAGAATTCTGAGGAAGAAAACAGCCAAACGATGAGCTGTATCAAACATGTAAATACCTCCTGGACTAGCTACAAACCACATCAATGTGCTTATTAGATTTGAATAGGAATTATTTGCATAAATAACATATTCTGTAAAGCTCAGAGCTGATGTGTCTTTACATTATTGTGCTGTAACAACCGAAGTCATAATGTCAAATAAACCAGATGCGGTGCTTGATGGAATAACTGTACATAGTAGAATTACCTCAATATCCAAGTGAGAAAACAATATCAGTAGCGCTTCATCTGTCTGAACAAAGCATGAAAACACTATAAAGGCTGGAAGAAAGCGAGATAAACCAGTATGGGCCAGTTTTACTAAACAGGACAATTAGCCAGAGAGCGCAGTTCCAAAAACAGCGCCGATGCGGATTTACTAACGATGTAGTCGCAAATAAAGAATAAACCAATAAAAAAGCCACAGTACGTTTGAAAAGAACCGGAGGCCAAAAATGAAAGGGTTGCAAGAAGTTTTCCCTGCTGAAAAATAACACCATCACAAAATTCGTAATGGTTTTACTGGTTATAATGGGCCTTGTGTTGGTTTTAATGGAAGCTGTAATGGTCCCAGTGGGACTCTACTGGTAATTGGTCGCCTTCTACTGGTGGCTTGTTAAAACCACTAAATCCTAATGGAATATGTCCCAAAACACACTACAGAAAACCATTATTTAATGGTTAAAAGTTGATGGTTTGTAATGGTATTTGTAATGGAAGCCATTAGAATTTTCTGTGATGGTTCTATTGTTTTTTCAGCAGGGTTGATAGTCCTCATTAGCATGACTCCTAGTTGAGGGTCTTTTATCTCCTGAAGCAAATTAAAAATAGCATGGCTTGGCAAACGATTATAACGCAAACGTTAGTAAATCTCGTTGCGTGATTCATTTGAATACTCACCTCCCATACATTTTGCGTCTGAAAGGGAAACTCCTACAAATGCATATTCAATAAGGTCAGGCGCAAAAATAACTGTCCACACCTTTCCAGCGCTATTTCGTCACTGCGCGTCTTTAGTAAGTCCTGACAGTACTGTTTTAACACCAAAAGACTGTTCGCACTGGCGCTAGCTGTTAGTAAAACTGGCCCTAAGTATTTTTTAATCTTAACAAGATGAACTCATGCAGATAAAAAGGAAGGAAGGATGAGATCGGCAAAGCGATGTTTGGCGGAGCCGCTCTACCAGATGTCACTGGAAAGCTCTGGTCTGGACAGCGGCACGAACTGGCTGCTCAAGTGAATGTCTTTCTTGGGTTTGCCGATGTCGTTGTGCGCCGGCCGTCCGTTCAGCAGCGTCATGGGCAGATTGCAGTACACGTGCTGGCCACTGAGCGTGGCGATGGCGGAGCTGGGCAACTCGTACTCATAGCTGCGGCAGAAGTGGTGCATCTGCAGGTGGCCCGGCTCGTTATAGTCCGGTATCTCCACGTGAGCCGGCACTAGCGACGCCGAGGTGGCAGTCATAGCCACGGTCGACACGGCCTGCAGGTCACCGAACAGCCCCTGCTCGCCCGAGTCCAGGACTTGTCGGCAGGACACGCTCTCTTTTCTCTTCGCAGGCATCTCGTAGCGCACCCGCTTCCAGAACTTGGACTGGAGCTGGCTGCTCTTGGGCCCGTACCACTTGATGAGCGACAGCACTCGGATGGTGTGCTTGAGGTCCTCCAGCTCCTGGTAGTTGATGACGCTGCGCAGGTCCGAGCATTCGATCATGATCACCTTGATTTCGCCCGTCACCAGCATGCTGTGCAGCCGCGGCTCGAACTGGAAGATGCTCCAGCCACGGCGGGCCACGAACTCAGGGGTCAAGACGATGATGAGACGCCTGCTCTGCTCCACGCTGCGCGCCAGGTCCTCGATGTACGCTAGAGACACAGAGAGAGACGGTGACTATGGATGTCACAAAGCAGCAGACACAGACGCTTCAGAAATCATCTGCATTTAGAGCTTTCTGTTGTCCGTGCAAAGCAAAGACAACTAAATGTAGGATGTGCAGTGTTGGGGTAAGGCACTACAAGTAACGCCATTTAAGTAATCAGATTACTTTTTTCCAAGTAAGTAGTAAAGAAACCCATTTATTTTTAATTTACTGACTGACAACTCTCCTGCCTGCATGTTGAGAGAAATCAGGAGTCAGTGCAGAGCGTTGTGTGTGAACATGATCTTACTGTAGTTCTAGACTAAATATGAACATGTGTTTACTCATCTCACTGCACACAAACACATTCAGTGCTCCTCACAATCAATAAAACTCAGAATATGACGCAAACCTGCAATAATTAAATGTTAAAAAACACAAATATCCTTTATGTATTTAATCCCATTTTATTAAACAATGTCTCAATGCTACTGAACTTCGACGATCCAATTCAACTGCACTAATAAGCAGAAATTACTATAAACATTACATTTTTATGATTGAGAAGAAAGTGTTGAACTTTCTTCTCTTGCATCTTTTTCTTCATGCAGTCAGGAAATGCAGCACAGCTAAAACATGAGTGTTTACTATTGTCATTTTGCATTATTGACACACTATTTTCCTATTTAATACTGTTCAGTTGCTTTGGCACAATCTGTATTGTTAAAAGCACTATATAAATAAAGGTGACTTGACTTGACTTGACTAAAAGGTTTGTTTGAGCTTTTTGAATTTACATTTCCTTCAGCCTGAGACTGATTCATTTCACGTTTGGTGTGAAAGTGCTTTTACATTGGCCAGAAATATACATTTTTATATTAAAAACAAGCAACCTCAGCTGAGAAATAAGTAATGCAAAAGTAACGTAATGCATTACTTTCCATAAAAAGTAATGCAATTAATTCCTTTTTTTAGGGAGTAGCGCAATATTGTAATGCATTACTTTCTGCAACACTGGGGTGTATTTAGGGGTTTGTCCAGCTCCACTTGTGACACTAAAAAACCTCCAGTTCAACTTTTCTACAAGACCTGGCTTTAGATCTCTCTCTGATGGACAAAGAAACAGGCAAAACAATACCATATGTTATGACTTGTGATAAATGAGGGACCTAAACTATACTGTATCTGGGTGTATTGGTAAACAACCCACAGTAGCAGGAGTCCAGAACATCCTTAGACAGCATTGTGCTAAAAACACCTTACTGCATAGCAATGCTCCATCAAGAACACTCAAGCAACCGCACAGAAACAGACTATCATAACCGCATGGCAACACCTCAGCAGCTGTATCTCACACACCCATCATCCGCCCACAACACTCCAGCCCTGAGCTCATGAGTTCTGCATGCATCACAAGCTGAAGATGGGATTATGGGGCCAATAACATCAATGAATTAATCTATGTATTTATTAATAAAAAAAAAACAATAATAAAGCAATACATACAATGACTTAGATTCACCTTTTTTGTGATGAGCATGTTTTAAATTACCGATCTGCATTTAAGGGGCCATAAAAGCATAAAAGAACTTTTCTCCTAGTGTTGGTGTGGGTTTCCTCCTGTTCAACAGAATCTGTTTCATCTTCATCAGACTGCGCGACTGCGCATCCTGGGGGAGTTTCTGCGTCTTACAGAAAGGAGATGACATGCTCCCTACAGAGGAGTTTTTCATGTTTAATATTCCCACACATGCTGAATGTGGGAAAACACCGCACTGCCGCTCAGGGTAAAGGATAGAGGATCCTGGAAGCTGCTAAATAATGCAGAAGGATTCAGTGGTTTACACCAGCTGATCAAACTAAGAATGTTCATATTTCGCACAGCTCTCTGGAATATTTGATTATTATTGGCCACTTCATTCTTCATTAAAGTGTTTACATGCATGTTTATTGTGATTAAAATCTGTATACACCATATAAGATGATTAAGACAATTAGTAGTTTATTTGCATCAACATACTGTACAACGGTTGACATATTGTGTTTACATGCAGTGAAGTTTAATCGCAGTATTGCCTAAACGTCATTATGAGGGTACATATTAACATAGCCATTGATCCACATTACTGTTGTTATATATTTTTCTGTTCAGCTATTTTCTCTCTCTTCAGCAGTTCTCAAGCTTCTGTGGCCATTTTGTCTTGTTGTGTTAAATGTATCTCAACTCTTCATATTGTTTATAGCAATCCTTCATCATCATCTGAGAAGCGCATCGCTCACAGGAAGTGAATGGCACTCTCTCTTCCTGTTTCACATGACTCTCTGTTTGCTGCAGATGTCACACATCCCTGTGCATGTGACTGTGGACTAATCACAAGCTCAGGATCTGCCACAAGTTGACAAAAATGTATACTGCGGGTAGTGGTACTGATCAAACCGAGTTGGATTTGTTTTTTGTTTTGTCAAAGCAAAACCAATACTGGAATCCTGAGTTTGTTCAATTTGTATTTGTGGAGCAGGCCTATCTGTGATTATTTTGCAACATTATCCCTTACATATCTTTCCAGCACTCTAGAATTGATTATATGATGAATGTAGAGTTGCAGGAACCAAGCAGAGCACATACCTAATACTACGCTGGACATGCACCGATCAAACACATTCATGAACTGAGAGAGAGTCGGTTCTTTGATTCAGATTAGAAATACACATCATCAACGCTGAGCACTCAAACATGAGCTGTCTTCTGCTGTGTATTTTGCTGACTGTAAGTGTGTGAACGTCAGGTGTTGCTCTTACTGCTGCTGGGAATGAGGTCCCGGTGCGGGATGAAGAGTTTATATCCGTAGTGTTTCTCCAGAACGTCCGGTAAGATCTCCAGAGCGAACAGCTCCTCCTCGCTCATCTCACACTCCACCGACTCCAGGTCCACTTTGGTGTAGGACAGGTAGGCGTCATATTCCTTGTTGTCTGTAAGGAACAGATATGTTGTATTGCACAGGTCAATTAGTTCAAAAACTTTTTTTACTGTAAGCATTTGTGGATGTGAATACAGTATTACACAGTACCAAAGAAAAGAAACACATCAAGCATGTGTAGTTGTGTAGATGTGTGTTTATAGACCTGTTCCAAAGCCATGATTGGTTGGTGTTCAGTGAAGCACGTGAGGAGTTAGTGTGAGGCACTAATGAATTAGTGTGTCATTCTGATTGGTTGTGTTTGAAAAAGGAAATCAAGATACTTCCTGTTAGATTTTTGTGTGTTACATCATGCCTTTCCATCCGTGTGTTTCTGGTTGCGGTTGGCACATCTTCAAAGACGACCAGCATGAACGTTGTATTCAGTGTTTGGGTTGTGCTCACGCTGAGGCAGCGCTTGTGGATGGTTTGTGCCCCGGTTGCGAGGCCCTTCCCTTCAGCACGTTGCGCTCGCAGCTTCGGTTCTTTGTCAAAAGACCCCGAGTCACCGCGGCTGCTTGCCGCTCTGGTTCTTCGACCTCCGGGTATGAGCACAGTGATGTGCGCCATGGAATAGCATGGGGAAGCGGGATCAGTTTTGCCGGAGCAATCCCCGCAAACTTCCCGTTCTTCCCTTGCTTCGTGTTTACCAGTCGAGTTTCCAGATGAGTTTGAGAGCTCGTCCCTGGGTGGACTCAATCTCTCATTTGGGGCTCACGAACAGGACAAGCTGTCATTCGCAGTATCGGAGGGTGGGCTTGAGCCATCGGAAGTAGATGATTTGGCTGAGCAAGCACCTACGGGCGCTGAGCCTGGAGTAGTCTCCCCTACCCTGCCCCAAGCACTCGCGGCTGGACAACTGGCTTCTGGATGCTAAGCGCGACACTAAGCAGGGCTTGGCCCCAGTGCCTTTCTTCCCCGAAGTGCACGAGGAGCTGACGTAATCGTGGAAGGCCCCTTTTTCGGCCAGAACATGGTACACCGGCTCCTCTGCCCTCACCACCCTTGATGGGGGTCCATCAAGGGGGTATACGGAGGTTTCCCAGTAGGAGAGAGCGATTGCGGTGCATCTTTGCCCCCAATATGCCGCCACCTGGCAGTGCCACCCGAGACTCCCATCCAGGGCCTGTACGTTCCCAAAGCAAAACCAATACTGGAATCCTGAGTTTGTTCAATTTGTATTTGTGGAGCAGGCCTATCTGTGATTATTTTGCAACATTATCCCTTACATATCTTTCCAGCACTCTAGAATTGATTATATGATGAATGTAGAGTTGCAGGAACCAAGCAGAGCACATACCTAATACTACGCTGGACATGCACCGATCAAACACATTCATGAACTGAGAGAGAGTCGGTTCTTTGATTCAGATTAGAAATACACATCATCAACGCTGAGCACTCAAACATGAGCTGTCTTCTGCTGTGTATTTTGCTGACTGTAAGTGTGTGAACGTCAGGTGTTGCTCTTACTGCTGCTGGGAATGAGGTCCCGGTGCGGGATGAAGAGTTTATATCCGTAGTGTTTCTCCAGAACATCCGGTAAGATCTCCAGAGCGAACAGCTCCTCCTCGCTCATCTCACACTCCACCGACTCCAGGTCCACTTTGGTGTAGGACAGGTAGGCGTCATATTCCTTGTTGTCTGTAAGGAACAGATATGTTGTATTGCACAGGTCAATTAGTTCAAAAACTTTTTTTACTGTAAGCATTTGTGGATGTGAATACAGTATTACACAGTACCAAAGAAAAGAAACACATCAAGCATGTGTAGTTGTGTAGATGTGTGTGTCAGTGCTGAAATGCTTGAGGGCTCTCAAGCAGAGAACGGTGGTCCCTCTCAAAAACTTTCAGAGTCTCCTGGGGCATATGGCGTCCTCTGCCGCGGTCATGCCGCTGGGACTGATGCATATGAGACCACTTCAGCACTGGCTTCGTACCTGAGTCCCGAGATGGGCATGGTGCCACGGCTCACACCGTGTGAACATCACATTGTTGTGTCACCACCGTACCTTCAGTCATTGGGAGGACATCTCTTTTCTATGGGCAGGAGTGCCCTTTGAACAGGTGTCCAGATGCATCGTTGTTACAACAGATACTTCCAAGACAGGTTGGGGCGCCGTGTGCAACGGGCGGGCAGCATCAGGGGTCTGGACAGGCCCTTGGCTGCATTGGCATATCAAGTGCCTAGAGCTGTTGACTGTGCTTTTGGCCTTGAGTAGGTTTCGACCATTGATCCAAGGCAAGCACGTGTTGGTCCGGACGGACAACACAGCGACAGTTCAACCACCAGGGTGGTTTTTGTTCCCATCGCATGTCACAACTCGCCCGCCATCTCTTACTTTGCCAGCACAAACTCAGGTCTCAGCATGCCATTCATATCCCGGGCGACCTCAATCGTGTAGCGGATCTCCTCTCGTGACAGGTCTCACTCAGAGGCAAGTGGAGGCTTCACCCCCAGATGGTTCAGCTGATTTGGAGTTGGTTCAGCCAGGCACAGGTGGACCTGTTTGCTTTGTTGGAATCGATCCACTGCCAGTTGTGGTACTCCCTGACCGAGGCTCCCCTCGGCACAGACACACTGGCTCACAGCTGGCCTAGGGGCTTACTCAAGTATGCGTTTCCCCCAGTGAGCCTCATTGCACAGACACTGTGCAAAGTCAGGGAAGACGGAGAACAGCTCCTGCTTGTGACCCCTTATTGGCCCAACAGGACCTGGTTCTCAGAGCTCGTGCTCATGGCATCAGTTCCTCCCTGGCAAATTCCCCTGAGGAAGGACCTCCTTTCTCAGGGGAAGGGCACAATTTGGCATCCGCGTCCGGATCTCTGGAACCTTCATGTTTGGTCCCTGGACACGACCAGAAGGAACATAGAGACCTTTCACCAGTCATGGTGAATACCATTACTCAGGCCAGAGCCCCCTCGACAAGGCGGTTGTATGACCTGAAGTGGCGTTTTTCCCAGGGGAAGGACCCTCTGAGATGTGGCATCGGATCTGTGCTCTCCTTCCTCCAAGGAGGTCTGGACAGGCACCTGTCTGCTTCTACACTTAAGGTGTACGTGGCCGCGATTGCGGCTAACCACGACACCATGGGAGGCAGATCGGTGGGGAGGCACGATCTGGTTATCAGGTTCCTCAAAGGCTCATTCCTTCTTGAGATCTCACTGTGGTCTTGCAGGCCTTACAGAGAGATCTGTTTGAGCCCCTTCAGTCAGTTGAGTTCAGTGCCCTCTCCATGAAGACGGCCCTCCTGACTGCCCTTACTTCTGTCAAGAGGGTGGGGGATCTCCAAGCCCTCTCCGTTAACAAATCATGCCTGGAGTTTGGGCCAGCAGACTCTCACGTTGTCCTGAGACCCCGGCCTGGATATGTGCCCAAGGCCTACTCAAGTATGCGTTTCCCCCAGTGAGCCTCATTGCACAGACACTGTGCAAAGTCAGGGAAGACGGAGAACAGCTCCTGCTTGTGACCCCTTATTGGCCCAACAGGACCTGGTTCTCAGAGCTCGTGCTCATTGCATCAGTTCCTCCCTGGCAAATTCCCCTGAGGAAGGACCTCCTTTCTCAGGGGAAGGGCACAATTTGGCATCCACGTCCGGATCTCTGGAACCTTCATGTTTGGTCCCTGGACACGACCAGAAGGAACATAGAGACCTTTCACCAGTCATGGTGAATACCATTACTCAGGCCAGAGCCCCCTCGACGAGGCGGTTGTATGACCTGAAGTGGCATTTTTCCCAGGGGAAGGACCCTCTGAGATGTGGCATCGGATCTGTGCTCTCCTTCCTCCAAGGAGGTCTGGACAGGCACCTGTCTGCTTCTACACTTAAGGTGTACGTGGCCGCCATTGCGGCTAACCACGACACCGTGGGAGGCAGATCGGTGGGGAGGCACGATCTGGTTATCAGGTTCCTCAAAGGCTCATTCCTTCTTGAGATCTCACTGTGGTCTTGCAGGCCTTACAGAGAGATCTGTTTGAGCCCCTTCAGTCAGTTGAGTTCAGTGCCCTCTCCATGAAGACGGCCCTCCTGACTGCCCTTACTTCTGTCAAGAGGGTGGGGGATCTCCAAGCCCTCTCCGTTAACAAATCATGCCTGGAGTTTGGGCCAGCAGACTCTCACGTTGTCCTGAGACCCCGGCCTGGATATGTGCCCAAGGTTCCCACCACTCCTTTCAGGGACCAGGTGGTAACATTGCAAGCTATCCCTTCCAGGAAGGAGACCCCGACCTGTCTCTGTTGTGCCCAGTGCGAGACCTACGCACATACCTAGATCGCACTTCTGAACAGCTCTTTATCTGCTTCGGAGGACAGCAGAAGTGGACTGCTCTCTCCAAACTGAGGATCTCCCACTGGACTGTGGATGCGATCCGAACGGCCTATCAGACCAGAGGCCTACCTTGCCCACTGGGAGTGAGAGCTCACTCTACCAGGGGCATGGCTGCATCAGCAGCCCTAGCGAACGGGGCCTCTCTAGCAGATATCTGTAGAGTTGCAGGTTGGGCTATGCCTAATAAATTAGCTAGATTTTATAATCTGCGAATGGGACCAGTTTCTTCTAGAGTCCTGTACGTCAGTTCTTAGTCTGGCAGGGTGTAGAGCTTGCTACCAGCGTCAACTCCCCCCAGGGTGGTTATGCGCTTATTCAGTCCAGCTCAGGTTCCTTTCATGAACTCTGGAGTACCCTTCTATCACATAAGCACTTTACTTAGCGTAGTTCGACAGAGGAACTTGCTATTAGAACTCATTATGAGGTAGATTCCCTCGAGTGTATTGCGTTAGTGCTCCATATGAAGTGGCTCCTCTTGAGGCCCCATGTGTGTATTCTCCACTGTATTGCCCCTGAGGCTCAGTGTTCCCCTAGACAGACATTCTGTCAATAGGTTCTGGGTTTTGGTAGATCTCCCCTTACGCGGAGTACTTAAGTACTAATATGTACTTTTAAGGTACTTATATGCACCGTTTAGGGGTAGATAAGGTACAAAGGTGTACCTTTTTCAAAAGTACTGCCCCCGTGACAACTTTTGTACTTTTTTTTCTGAGAGTGTAGGTAACTCTTAATGTTATGAAATATGTATTGTACACATTTTGTAGAGAGAAAAAAACTGCATTAAGGCCTTGTTTAGGCTTTTCTAGCCATCTGTTCAGGACTCTGATCCAACATTACAGTAGTAAAAAGTTTTTTTTTTCTTGTTTTTTTTGCATGGCTTGCAAAAACAGTTGCATGAACTAGATGTTGCCCCCAAAATATTTGTAATTAGAAACAGAAACTGTTATTGTTCATGTTATTCTTGCGTACCATCATCAGCCTCATCACTGCCGAAGTGTCGTCGGTAGCACAGCATGATCTCCACATTATAGCACTTATAGATGGCTGTGAAGATCCCCAATATCAGCATGATGGCACCCAGACCACCAACCAGCTCCAGCCTGTACACGTCTGCATGAGAAAACAGTTGACTTCTTTATGACTTAATTCATAAGGTCCAAAGGTATACATGTATCTGATCAAAAACACAGTAAAAACAGTAATATTGAAATAGTATTATAATTTAAAAGAACTGTTTTAAAATTCAATTTATTCCTGGCATGCAAACTTGCACTTTCAGTAGTTGAGCTGCTTCTTTTTTTGCCTCATATGGTTTCTTTCTTTCTTTCTTGATTCATTGTGGAAACTGTGATACTTTTTTTCAGGATTTTTTTTTATGTTTAGCTGCAACATTATAAATGTCTTTAATGTTGCTCTTGCTCTTGCTCTTGCTGCCATTGTGTGTTTGATCAAATAAATTCAGCCTTAGTGATAAAAAAATAATATATATAATATATAACCAAACTTTTGATTGGTAGTGTCACCCCCCCAAACTGTCATAAACAAAATATCACGTCCAGCACATCTCACCACTAAATCACCAATCATCTGTCTAAAGGATGGATTTATATATATCTGAGATTTGTTGAGTGTTGTGGTTGATTGAGTGAGTGACCATCATTCACAGAGTTTAATGAGCCAAAATGTATCTGCAGCAATATTTACATTACATTTAATCATTTAGCAGATGCTTTTATCCAAAGCGACTTATACTTATAGAGGACAATAGAAGCAATCAGACCAACTAAAGAGCAACAATACAATATATAAGTGCTGTGATAAGTCCTGGTTAGTCTAACGCAGTACACATAGCAAGATTATTTATTTATTTATTCAAATAATAAATAAAAAGAATGACAAGTCGATAAAATAGAAATAAAACAGAGAGTGCTAGTGCTAGAGGGTCAAGTTATTGTTACAATTTTTTTTATAATAATTAAAAAGTAAACAAGAATAGAAATGGAATAGAGAGAGCAAGTGTCAGAGAGTCAAGTCTAGATGAAAGCGATGGTTTTTAGCCATTTCCTGAAGATGGCTACAGACTCAGCTGTTCGGATATGTGAAACACTTCAGAAAAACCAAAAGAAAGGATGATAATGCCTTTCTTTTAAGTGCACAATGCAAGTGAGTTTATGTCAGTGCCTGAAACACTTACTAAGTTACTCGTATGATGTTTGTGAGACAGAGCTGGTTCTGTTTGAGCAGGATAACTGATATGTGCTCAGTGTGAAGCTGTTTTTAATATCTGCTCTTGTATGAGTGAGAGAATCAGAGTTCAGCCGTGTCCATGAGAACACAGAGAAGAGAGATGAAGACAGCACAAGATAATGAAACACATCTCCCTCCGGCTGCTGTGTTCATCTGAGCACTTCACCTTTCTTCTGCAGGATGGCGCTCCCGCTGCCTCGGCCGATGTGGTTCTCCACGTTACAGGTGTAGTTGCCCATGTCCGTCTCCTCCACAGCGTCAAAGATCAGCGACAGCGCCACCTCCTTCTCCCCCAGAAACTCCCGCACCACCCTGAACACACACACACACATTAGCACACTTTCACGCTATTCGTGCCGTTTCTGCAGAATGACGCAGATATGGAAACTTTCTTCATGCATAGAGCACTACATTTGGCAGTATGAAACAGAGCATGCTGCGCAGATCCTGTTTCCCATCATGCTCTTCTGTTCGCAGCGTGTCTAATGAACCAGAACATCAGCAGCAGTTTGTAACGTCTCATTATTTGACAGCCAAGGGTTGAGATATTCTTACTTGATATTGGTTTGAGAATGCAAAATAAATCAAACACTGATTTACAGTTTTTTCTCAACTGCTTACACACAAAATCACAGTTTCTGAAAGCTGACACTCAGACAGCAGAAGCACACACCAAATCTGCAGAACCATACACTAATTCTCAGCCTTTGACTCAGAAAAACACTTTTTGCAAAACACAACACACAGTTCTCTAAGTAACACACAAAGATCTAACAGGAATTAATATTATGGCAAAGGTGTTTGCAAATCTTTGCTTTTGAGATGTTTGTGATATTTGGAATGCAGTGCTTCATTTTGCAAAAGATGTGAGGCGTTTTGTGTTTAATTCTTGGATTTGTGTGTGAAGTTTTGAAAAAAAGAGGCAAAGTTTTGAAAATGTGTGTAAGCAGCTGAAAACTTCAACTGATGTTCATCTAAAGGCTAAACATACAAAAGATCTAAATTACACAAGCAGACATGGCTTTAATGAATATACTGAACAAAATATATTCAGATTTTATTCAGAAGGTCGTTGAGGATGAATTGCTCTCTTTAGATCTTGCTCATATTTGTATTCACTTTAAAAAATAGAAACGAAGAGGTGAAGCATCCATATAATATTAGTCCTATTAAAATATTCCCAGCATACATATTAACGTTTTATAATCATGATGAGTCATTCTATGCTCAAACATTCATTTATATAAAATAAAAGCACTGAAAAAGATCAATTCCATCTTTTGAAATGCCATCCTTTCAAAACTTCCTAAAGTTACAATAAAAGCCAGAAACAGTTCTGTTATTCTCCGGTGCTCCCTGTCAGTTGTGACATTAAACCAGGCAATTTTCCTGATGAATTCTTTATTCTTTATACTTTATATGTGACACATGAAGAAAGCTCCACTGTGAATAAAGATCCAGCATGTCTAAGAGTAATAGAAGGGCACTATCCACCTGAAATGAAGGAGTAGTTCATACAGATCAAACAGCCATCAAAGGAAGATGAGCAAGGATAACAGCTGACAGTGACTCAATCAGAGGAATTATGTTACCGATCACTGAAACAACGCTGTATTTGATTACTGATGTTTGGCTGCCACCGCCAGCACACATTCTTTTAATATTTCTGAAAGAAGTGTCTTTAATGCTGCCTTTTATTGTTTCAAAATACTGTACCAACAGAAATATTGTGAAATATTATTATAATTTACTCCCTTACCATCTATTTACACCATTTGATAAATATAAAGTTCAAAAGAAAAGCATCTATTGGAAACTGATTTTTTTGTAACAATGTGAATATCTTTACTGTCACTTTTTAGCAAGGTTTTTATTTTTTTATTTTTAATAAATGAGCATGTCAAATAATTAGCAGACGGTTTTGGCCGTCACAGCAGGTCACGTGTAATGTCAGCTACTCACTGAAATGTATTTTCCAAGAACTGTTTTTCTTCTTTCACCTGTACTCTGTAGAGTAATAACTCAAGATGTGTCCACACTCATTCACAGCTGTCGCACATCACTGCCTTAACAATATACTGTGTGTGTGTGTGTATATATATATACACAGTATATATAGTGTGTGTGTGTGTGTGTGTTAGAGAGAGAGAGATCAGGAAGGTGATGCTGGCTTAACAACAGTATTTGGAGAATGTACTGTCAGACATGTTGGATGACAGTGTGTGTGTGTGTGTGTGTGTGTGTGTGTGTGAGTGTGTGTGTGTGTGTGTGTGTGTGTGTGTGTGTGTGTGT